TGAGCCTCACCTTTACTGTTCACATCCCTCTTAGCATTCTGGTCTTCTGAGCTCTGACCACAACCATGCATCACACACTGCTTATTGCATTCTAAGGCTTGGGAAGCTGGCATCTCCAAACTTTGCCAAATTCCTGCAGCAAACCTGTTCCAAGGCTTCTAAACCACAAGGTCTGTATAATCACAGCAATAATCCCACTTCTCTGATAGCAATACTGTCTTACAATACCCAACACCCACAGTTTACAGGAGAGGGTTAGATTCACTCAGTTTGGTAGTATTCAGGCTCCAGTTCATTGGTTCCAAGGCAGGAGAATCACGGCAGAAAGGTGTGGCAGAGCAAAGCTGCTTAGTTCATGGCAGGTAGGGAGTAGTGTAGAGCAGGAAACAGTGTCAGAAAACAATGGCAAAGGACTGTATATATACCCAAGGCCACACCTTCATGACCTAACAAGACACACTTAAGAGTACGCTCTGCTGATCTACTAGGTGTTTCTAAATCCAATGAATTTGACATATCAGGATTATCAGTTCCCATAAGCTATATGACACATATTGTTCTGAAGATTCTGTCTTTATCAAGACATGTGTCTGTCAGTGATTTGGTAGAGTAGCCTGACCACAAACCTCAGCATATTAGAAAGCCCCAAATGAATGTCCACCCTAGTCCTCAAACAGCCCAAGGATGATTGGAGCCTTCAGCTTTCAGGAGAAAAGAAAGGCACACAGGGCCATATATCTGAGGCTATATTCTGGCAGCTTGGGCCTCAACGTGAGGAGGGATGCCCACGGGAAAGTGGTGACCTGCATGTCATTGCTCAGCCTGGTTTTGCCCAGATGTGATTTACACAGCTGCAACCCTCATGCCACATAGTAGATACAGAATTCTCAGCAGACCCTTCAGTAACACCAAATTCCCAAATCTTGAATTTGGTGGCACCATGACCACCTCTTTTTGTCTGAGGCAAGCTGTGTTTTCTGATGTATTCCATATTACTCATGAATGGGAGGAAAGAGTTTAAAGTTACCATAGGGTCATATCCACCCATGAGGTTACCCTAGGGAAAGAACCGTATGTCACTCTTCAGAGTTAAACAACAACCTACTAGCAAGCTTGTGGCAACAGAAAAGGAGGGGATGAAATAATATGAGTGTCTAGATCTTTGTTTGGGAATTGGATGGAAAATGAGAAGTTGAACTCAACAGTTCCCCCAGATGGATCAGCAGGTCAGAGGAGGTTTTCTAGGATCAGTCTATTCCTGGCTGATGTCAAAAGAGCAGGGCAGTAATAAGAGCCAGGGATGGATTTAATCGGCAGTGATTAATTTAAGGAGGGCTTCCTGCCTGCCAACAATATGTCATTTTGCTCACGATAAAAGAGTGAACATGCAGAATCCAAAGCAGGAGGCACAGTCTGTGTGGCAGTCCAGTGCTGTTGGCTTCTGGGGACATGGCCACAGCACTGCAGGTGCCTCTGGGAGGGCTGGTGAGGCTGCTGCTCTTGGCATGTGTCACACTGAGGGCTGAGTGTGGGAAGGTGCTGGTGGTCCCCA